GAGATTTTGCGCATATATATATATATATATATATATATATATAATATCCACATTTCATGTCCGCTTCTTTTTCGCTGTCTAAATCTCTCCGATTCCTGGTTTTCTTGTTGATAATCTAGCTATTCTCAAGTGCTAGTGCAATGATATAACCAATGATAATTGTATCTTCTGATTATCGGTTTTAGTCACAGTGAAAAACGACTGATTGTTATTATTATTATTACTTAACTCACGAATGATCACTTGTTAGACCATCATTAGAAACCTGGAAGCATTGAGAAATTGCCATTTCATCTTTGGTATACGGTTGATCAGCAGTGCGCATTCACGTCTGCTGCTACTCACAGGGTTCGAACACAGGGCCTTCAATCTTGTGCGCGAACACCTAACCTCTGAATCACTGAGCCGGCATCCAGTGGTGTTAATGTTCGGATTTAAGTAATAAGTAACAATCTCCATTACCTTTAAATGATTATTATTATTATTTGATAAAATCATTTACTCAAGATGCACATTTTCATTTATATTGAAAATAAAAAATAAATTGTTTTGTAAACAAAGCGAGAAGTGAATTACATTAAAAATTGTTTGAAAATTCCAGATGTCACAAAGTCAGATTGTAAAAATGTACGATAAGTTAGGGAACATTGTAACAAAGTACAGATCTATGAAGGGAAAATTAGAAGAGTAAACTTGAAAGAATGTCAGAGACGTCTACAGCAAATAAATACAAATCCAAAAAAAACTTTTATCAAGTATAAATGACGATTTGTATATTCCATTCTTGACTAATGAGTGTTAGTTTGAACAGATGAATTGCCAATACTTCAACAGTGTATCAGTTGTTGAATTGTGTTCCTTTGAAAATAGAAACACTTATTTTTAAAAATTCAGCTCTGTGTTCTTATTTTTCCGATCGATCACCTAGTTAAAAACTTGAATTTTTATACATGTTGTGATTGTTTTTGGTTGATTTTGTAATGGAAACCTGTTGAAATATTTCATGCTGAGAATTCCAAATTGTTATTTCCACATACTTACTTACCTGCACCTGTTTTTCCCCCACCCAGTGTAGGGAGCATCGGCCGCCGACCAGCATACTCCAACCCACTATGTCCTGGGACTTCCTTTGCAGTTCTAAACAACTGCTTTTCATTTTTTTTCACGTCTGTTTCCAACTCTCGGAGTAGACATGAAAAGAATTCCATTTTATACCAAACATATACTTTTGAATAAAGCCATTATTGTTATTATTATCAACCCCATACAAGCATGATGATACAGCTTGAATAGTTTTATTGAAAAGGGAAAAACTTCTTTGATGAATTGTGTTTTTTTTTCGCTTCTGAAAGAAAAAATTCAGTTTTTTTCTTTTTTTTTGTATTTTGAAGAAAATGAATTTATTCAAGTAGAATACAAACTACTAAAAACAATTAAGTAGTATGAAATATGCGGGTTTTTTCGCGAGATTTAAAAAATGAACTGATGCGAAAAATAAGATGTTATAAATAAAAATGATAAATTCTTCTATATAGTCTACTTATATGAATAGAATGGGAGAAAAAAAAACCCATTTACGCTTTGATAAACTGCGAGCATGAAAAGACAAGTCACATCTTATCATTACAATGAATAATAGGATTATGAGAAAAGCTTTAAAAATCAGGCAGTTTTGAATGATATAAATGTTATAAATTTGTTGAAAATTTTTTTTATGTAAATATGTACTCAGGAGCTTGGTGAACAGAGAGTTGTTCATTCAGAGAGAAAGATACTATAGTCACGTTTCAAGTGAATATCAACACTGAGATATACTAGTCTGTCTGGATGATGAACTCCGGATTAGGGGGAAACACACGTAACAGATTTCTCTTTTAATCACAGTCTATCTATCGCATATACACTGATTAATGTTAGAAAATGTACCGGTTATGTTATTATTTATATGTATTTGCTCTGAATATAAGAGAAAATAATACATTCAAAGGTATGATGATCATAATTAGATAGGTAAATATATCCATGACGGTAGAAAGGAAAGTACAATTATACAAGAGAAACTAAGTACTTTAACAACTGTCTATCATGTGATCTAACACTTCTTTAACATTATATACTGAATTTCTGATTCATTTTTCACAGTAAAAACTGATGTGAATTGTTTAGAGAAGTTAAATAAATTTAAAGAGATTGATGACTTACTTACGCTTGTTATCCCTAATGGAGCATAGGCTACCGACCAGTATTCTCCAACCTACTATGTCCTGGACTTCTCTTTACAGTCCTGTCCAGTGTTTATTCATTCTTCTCATGTCTCTGTCACCATTTCTCGACGCAATGTGTTTTATGATCTTTCTCTTTTATCTTGAGAGTTCTAAGTGAGGGTTTGTCTTGTGACGCATTTGGGTGCTTTCGGCAATATGTGTCCTATCCATTTCCAGCGCTTATTTCTGATTTCCTCCTCCACTGGAATCTGGTTTGTTCTCTCCCATAGTAGGTTATTGCTGATAGTGTCTAGCCAGCGTTCAGAAGTATCTTGCGTAGACAGCTGTTAATAAATACTTGTATCTTGTGGATGATGACTTTTCCAAGTTTCCGTAGAATTGTCTTGAAATTTCAGACTTTGGTGTTTGCCGATAGTTATTTGGAGTTCCATATGTTGTTCAGTTGTAGAAATGCACCCTCTACTTTCCCGATCCGCGCCTTCATATCTGCATCAGATCCACCTTGCTCGTCAATGATGCTGCCCACTTATGTATACAAGTGATGTCACTTAATAAATTATATTGCGTTTTTCAGATCAGTTCCATCTTCTCATTGTTCTGTTAAAAAATGAATAAAAGTTCATTTGTTCCGGTTAAATTTAAAACTGTTATTGTACTTAATAAATAAACGGCTACATTTTAAAAAGCAGGTTTTCCTGAAAGGAGCTAACATACACACTAAAGTTGTCGCAACAAAGAGACACAACTGTCATTAGTTTTACTGAAATCACTAACTTATTCAAGTTAGACAGCCACTAAAAACCATATATCATAGGATAGCCATTTCATCCTAGTATGGAGTTTTGCTGCAATAGACGCTCATAACCGCGCAGCTAGGAATCGAATACTAGGTCTTTCGGTCTCGTGCAAATACTTAACCTTCATCCCACTGGATCGGCATTGAGTGATGTATACATCTCTATCTGTAATCAGTTCGCTATATTACACAACCATTTTGCGAGTTTCAACTGTCAACACAAATATCCTTCAGTCTACAGCCATATTGAACTTTCACATTCAGTACTGTTAAAAATCTGCAGTTTTAAATGCTTTATAGCGCTTTATTTATTCTTTGAAAATTGCTTTTCCCACTGAAGTTATATGTTATTTAAATAAAAATACGTTGGATTTTTTTTTAATCAATAGTTGCCATTTTAAAAATATTTTAAGATTATTATTTACTGTATTACTTAACAGTTTTACTGACAATTATTTCGTTGAAATTCTTTTTTTTTCAAAAATTTCTCGTCAATATTTTCATTTAATTTTTTTAAAAAGGAAACTATTTATTTTACAGAATCTAGCAAACTCATTTTAATGAAACACTTTCGACGGTTTTATTTTTTTACATACTTCAATGAAATTTGAATCTTTAGGAAAATTGAGAGAAAACCAGATAGCATTTATAATTTTATAGTCTGATAATTTTTATTTTTATCGAAGATGTAGTTTTAGTAAAATATACTACTCATTATAACAACAATCCATTTAAATTCGGTGCTTAGGCTGGTTCACTCTCAATGACGAACAACATTTTAGACACTTGCCATTTTCATTTAAACCTGTTGCCTGACATTGTTAGCAATCTTAAAAGTAATATATTATATTCTTATCAACTTAAGATGGAAATAAAAACCAATAATTTAACTCTTTTGTAGGAATTTTTTATTGGTAATCACTCATTTGTGGGTCTAGTTTCAAGTTCGAACATAGTTTACCAGCAGAGATCGATTCCTTCTCAGCACACGGTGTCAATTTGTATTGATTTAGATTGGTTTTTTGAATTGTTCTTTTGATATTTATGGCTGCGACTGATCATTCTATTTTAGCATAAGTGCATTCTTTGCAGAGTGCATGGAAATCGACTCCAAGTTACAGGTATTCTAAGGAGAGTTGAATTTCTCCTATTTAGGACTTGTTAGCAGGATGTATTAGCTAGCGTAGCATATTTGACATTCACTCCAAGACTAGAACCTACTTTACTCCGTAGCTAAGTTGATCAAGTGATGGTGTTCATAGCGAAAGTTACTGGACTTAAATCCTGGAGTGAACTTCAACTCTGAGATACATTTATATCAAGCTGATGAGTCCCAAACACAGCGATTATTGTGATTTCACTGTTATTCACCATTCATCTTTACTCATGTTCGATATGTTTGAGTAAATACTGTGCACCTAGCCATACTTAGTCACCTTCGCCTGTAACCCTTAATGAAGCATAAGCCATCGACAAGCATTCTCCAACCTACTCTGTCCGGGGACTCCTTTTCCAGTTCTATCCAACTGTTGTTTATTCTTCTCATATCTATCTCCATTTCTCGGCGTAATGTATCCTGTGTCCTCCTTCTTTCCCTTTGACCTTGAGGGTTTAAAATGAGGGCTTATCATGTGACGTATTTACGATCCTTCTGCCTTTCCACCTTTGTAATGAATCACTCAAAATGTATCGTTGTATCTAAAGAATAAAACTACAATTGTTTACAATATTCGCATTCACATGAATTTATTCAATGTTCACAAAAATAAACTATTTCTTTTAGTTCAGTTGTCGCCATCATCATCATCATCATCAATGTGTTTAGTGTTTATCAACACAATTTGTTTATTGAACATTTTATTCATTTCTACTTATTTTTCTCAACTTATTTTTCTCTTTTTCCATTGAATAAGAGATAATTAAAACAAAAATAACAGTGTTTTACTTATGTTTTTAAATTTCTTTTTTTTCTTTTTTAGTTTATTAATTTAGCCAGTAAATTCATTGGGATATTTAATCTTGTTTTATTGTTACTATTATTGGGACATTGGAATGCTTGTTTACAATTTCTAATACCAATGTTACATGATTATCCAGTGGAAAGTTGGGTAGCCAAAGGTAAACTACAAGTAAGTCAATGTAATTTAATGCTTTAATTTAGTTCATTTGCGTTTTCCCATCAAGCCACTGGGAATGAAATGTTATTATTAAGCAAAAAATAATATAAATAATTGACAATTAGTTTAACAGGTGACTGTGTGGTTGGGATATATTAAGTTCCTACAATGCCAAATGAAGAAAACTCTCCTGTTGAAATAAGGAGGTAGTGTAAAATTAATAATGTCCTAACATGTGCTGTTGTAATATGTGGCGGGATGATCTTTTAAGTCGGTAAGTGAATATGCAATTATCATGAGAAATTATGTCGGAACGGATAAGTAAAAATTATCAATAGGAAACTAACAATAAGTAATAGAACTGATGGAACTCCTAGGCAGTATGCGTCTACAACTCTACCACTAGAAATTGAATTCACAACTGTCGTTTTTATATGGATACGCTTAACATTTAAAACACCGAACCAGTATTTGGTGATGTCTGCGACTAATTGTTACCGATCGACAATATTAACGCAGCAATTTCCCACTATCTGTGATACATAACTGATTCAGATAGAATATAATTGAAAAGAAAACATAATAATTTCAATTGTTTTCTTTATTGGTTTTAGCAAAAGACAAGGTACATCGCTTTTATGTATAGAGTACAGATTGTGCTTCGTAAATAACCGACACATTAATTGAATAAGGTTCAGTTAATCATCGTATTGGTTTAGTTCAGCATATCATGTTAACGCGCCGAAGTAAGATTGGAAAAAATGAATAAAATGAGGGCTATCATGATAGTAAGAAAAACTAAACATAAGTGTCAGACAATGTTCATTATGACATAATATGATTTAGACCTAGGTAAAAATGTAGACTGTTATGTTAGCTTGTAATAGTTTAGTGAAAGCAATTGCACTGAGATACTCGAAAACCATAGATTTAATCTCGTGAAGAATGAAGAATTTCTAGTTTTGAATAGCTGGTCTTTGCTTTTCCCTATATTTTACTGTTTCTTTGTAGTTAACGTAAATTGTGTAGTCAGGATTTCCTTTGAAATTACACATAACTTTTGCACAACTATGTTATACTCGTCAGTTGATAATCTTGAAACTATTACGAGTTCACCTTACTCGGTAAACGAGGCGCAGATCAATGATGCAGTAACACGATAGGCTATTCTAATCCGATTGTCCCAGGCCCCGCTAACTGAAGCAAGAAGTCTTGATAAGGTGTAGAGAATGTATTTTACAGGCATCCAGAGAGATTGAGGTTTTTAGGCACACAAATCGAGTTTATTTATATATGATAGAAACGTCTTTGGGAGAGCCACAAAAATAGCGCACTATAATAAAACATCACCCAATAACAGTCAAGGATTTTACAGATGGAAAACTTAGTCTCAAAGTCAACTGATCAGCCAGGCGTGAAAGTATAAAATCCAAAGTTAGTGCCTTTATCAAGTGAGTTCTGGGGATCTAACGTCCCCAAAAATTCCTTACCTCAGGCCAACATATATACGGCCTTCGGGATAAAGTATCTACCGTCAAACTGGGGATCTAACGTCCCCAATAAACTACAACATTATGTAAGTAACTAGCTTTGAATCAGCTGCCTTCTTATTACTCTTAACACGTTATGAACTAAGAAGTTAACCAAAATGAGACATTAATTCATCCATAAACTTGAATCATAACAATGTCGAACGACTTTGATATCCTGACGCATTTTAAACCAATCAGAAATACAATTATCACCAAATTGCAAGTTGGAATAAAATAATTCAACAGTTACCTACAGACTTTATATATGATTAAGACAATTTTGAAAGTTGGCTATGAGTTCTCTAACTCTAATTTCCCAAAACCGAACACTTTAAACATATCATCCTTATTAGTAGATCTCATGTTCCTTTACACCTATTTAGGATCACTTTATTGACTCATTCATATATGATAATCCATTGTTTTGTAAATATTTGTTAACATTACAATCAATTAGATTTATCCTAAAGCGGTCAACTGTCAAATCCATATGTGACTAAAAGATAGATGTGGTTGATACACACACAATGACCTTGATATCGTTGACCTTAACGATTCTGCAGTTTTCTCCTCAAGTCCATTTGTATATGACCCTGGAATAAGATCTCATTCTTTCTTTTTTCAAATCCGTTTAACCTCATTCTGTTTCTTTTTTCATTAAAAATCCTTGGAGTATCGTTATTGACATGTTTTTTCACTTTTTTTTTTCCTTCAACAGAATGCTTACTGGTTTGATCAATACACTTGGGCATTGTTTAAAGCTATGTCACATATGTTAACCATTGGTTATGGAAGATATCCACCGACAAGTTTAAGTGAAGCATGGGTCACAGTGATCAGTATGGTTACTGGAGCGACTGGATATGCTTTATTTGTTGGTCATGCAGCAGCATTAATACAATCATTTGATTGTTCAAAACGTCTTTATAGAGAGAAGGTAATAAATTCTGGATGATTTTTATTGCATAACTTATTCGGTAGTTTTTTTTTTGTTTTGAAATATACAAAAAGGTACTACTTCATCTTAGGATGAATGAAATGTTTTACATAACGGAATAATTACATAATTTAAAACATTTCAACTACTAAGTAGTTTTTTAGTGGTCCAGTAGCTGAGTCCAGTTTGTAGGGACAGCTGAATATGCTATGGAATAAATTTCCGCCGTTTGTGCCAAATACGCATTACGTTGGATGAGTTTATTTCATGTAATCGGTTACGTAGACAGATATGAGGATGAAAATCAGCGATGCGAAGCAAACTGGATAAAGCAAGTAGGACAAGACCTTGTGATGAGGCATGACTAAGTATACATAGAAAAAATTAAGCTAGATATGTGATAAGCGATGCAAGCAATGTACTTAAATTACTCAGGTAAAAACAACCAAGGCTACGATTGAATCAGTGACAAGGTTGAAAGACGTGAGAACAATTGCAGAAGAATGCACTGCTAAACCCTTCCAAAGGCCGGGACATGCCGCATGGGCTTGACATTTTAGTACACACTACAGTTTGTATGTAAATTAGATAACTTTGTTTGATATTGTTATAGGAAGTCAGTAAATAGTTGAATTACATGTATTGTGAAATATATATTATAGCTGTATATCTTTCGTTATTGGTTTAGTTTTAACTCTGTAATATTTTGGATAAATATAACTCTTCGTGCAAACAGATCATTCACAAATACTTCCTGAGAATGAGTTCTATCTTTGCGTAAAAATTCAATAATTAAAAATTGTCCGAACTTATCGATTATTCTTGCATAAAATAGAAAAGATCTTAAACTAGGACTAAACTTAATTATTTAGTTAACGAGACTTACATACTTACGCTTATCACCCCTAATGGAGCATCGGCCACAGGCCAGTATTCTCCAGCCTACTCTGTCCTCGGATTCCCTTTCCAGTTCTATCCAATTTTTGTTCATTCTCCTGCCTGTCTGCATTATTCGGCGTAATGTGTTCCCTGGCCTTCTTCCTTTCTCTTGACCTTGAGGGTTCCAAATGAGAGCTTATCTTGTAACGCAGTTGGATGCCTTCCGTAACGTGTGTCTCATTCACTTCTAGCACTTCTTCCTGATTTCTTTCTCAACTGGAATCTGGCTTTTTCTCTTTCACAGTAGGTTATTTCTGATTGTGTCTGGCCAAGGGATCCGAAGTATTTTGCGTAGACAACTGTTACTAAATACTTGTATCTTACGTTTAGCTGATTCCAAGCGTCTCCAGCTTTTATATTTTTATCTCTGCAGCAATTTGGAACAGTCTTCCGGTCTACCACATTGTTCGAACACTTTATGTACCTAAAAGAATGGTTGCTTCGATTGTCAAAATGGGCGTCGGCCTTGTTACTTCCGAAAAAACTCAGCTTCCATCATGAGACGTCATAACTCTTTTGAAGGAAGACGTTCTAACTCTAAGAGCAGAGTTAAAATAGTTTGAATTATGTTTTCTGGTTAGCATTTTTTTAACGAGTTAGTTTTCTGTGGGATTGTATCGCCAACCTCACTCCCAACCCTCCTCATTTATCCGATCTCGGTATCGCAAGAAGCCTCAGAGGGGTTCCAAGCGGGATTAAGTTAATGAGAAGTAATCAACTATATAAATTTTGTCGCTATCAGTTCAATCTGAATCAAACAGATTAAAATTTTGTTCATCATGCATTTATTTATTTACATAAAACGTGTTACAATCAACTCTAGGATGTAAGAAGAACATTCAATTGACCAGTTTCAAATAAAAGGAAAACTCACTTGCATGAATTCCACTACTTGCTTACCGACTTTATTGGTTTAAATGATATTATTAAAAAATGATTTTCATGTATATTGACAGAAAGGATTAATGCTTTTTTTTTTCTAAATAAATATTTAGTTTAAACAAGTGGATGAATATATGGCTTATAGAAAACTTCCACGTGGTCTACGTAAACGGATTGCTAGTTATTATGAACATCGTTATCAAGGCAAAATGTTTAATGAAAATGAAATTCTTAATGAATTGTCTGAATGTTTAAAAGAGGTAATTTTCATAATGTCAGTTGTTTTGGGTTTTGAATAAGTTTTGTATTTTGAAAACAAGTATTGAACTATTCAGCACATTTTAAATAAATGATATTGAAGTATCTGGATACAATACAATGAAAAAAGAATTTGATCAAATTCAATTGGATTTTGTTAAAAAATTAAGCGAGTTATTACTTACTTACTTACTTACTTACGCCTGTTATCCCCAATAGAGCATAGGTCACCGATCAGTTTCCTACAACAAAATCTGTCCCGGTCTTCCCTTTCCAGTTCTTTCTTATTTTTGTTCATTTTTCTCATGTCTTTCTCTATTTCTCAGCGTAATGTGTTCTTTGGCCTTCCTCTTTTCTTTGAGGCTCCCGAGTGAGGGCTTGTCTCGTGACGCAGTTCGGTGCTTTCCGCAATCTGTGTTCTATCCACTTTCACCGCTTCTTCCTCATTTCCTCCTCCACTGGTTTGTCCTATCCCACAGTAGGTTGTTGCTGATAGTGTCTGATCGACGAAACTGAAGTATTTTGCGTAGACAACTGTTCATAAATACTTGTATCTTCTGGATGATGGTTTTCGTAGTTCTCCAAGTTTCCGCTCCATACAGTATAACTGTCTTGATATTTGTATTGAAAATCCTGATTTTGGTGTTGATTGATATTTGTTTGGAGTTCCAGATATTTTTCAATTGTAGAAATGCAGCCCCTGCTTTGCTGATCCTCGCCCTCACATCTGCATCGGATCCACCTTGATTGTTGATGATGCTGCCCAGATATGTAAAGGTTTTCACGTCTTCCAAGGCATCTCCATCAAGAGTAATTTGGTTAGCACATGTTGTGTAGTATCTCCAAACCTTGTTCTCGCCTTTATGTATGTTAAGACCTGATGAGGCGAATTATTGAGATTTATAAAATTACTGGTAAATCATCATTTACTTACAGATTGGTGTGCATTTTATAAGAGGAGATAGATGGTAGCTAACTGTAGAATCCAGGACGTGTGGTTTCGTTGATTTGGAAATATTCAGTTGGATTTACCTACAACCTCATTCCAAAAGAGACTGACCAACTGCAACCCTAAAAATCGACGGGAAGATTCAAATAACCTATATATATATATATATATATACTCCAATCAAAATTCACTACGTTTCGCAATCCAGCACCTATATCTGGACTCAGTAGCCAAGTTAATAATGCGATGGCATTTGAATCAGACGATACTAAGTTTTGTGTTCCGGAGTGAATATCAACTCTGAGATGCTAATAAACCCAGTTGTTGAGACTCAAATAGGACGAAATACACATTGTGGATTCAACTGTTGTTCATAATTCAACTCTCTTTAGAATAACTGTGACTTTCAGTTGATATCGAGGCAGTTAGCACAAAATGCACTTATGTAAAAAGAGACTGGCCATTTGTAGTCATAAACAACCACGGGGAATCCAAACAGCCAACATATAACTGGGTATTTAACACGCACGAAAGCTTAACCACAACACCACTTAACCTTTTTCAAAAGGTGTTAATTTCTAACTTTGGCGAGTGACTACTTCACATAAAACAAAATAATTTACTGACTATCAGAACACTTAGTATTTTAGTCAAAAAAATATATAAAATGACAGAAACGTTAATTAAATTTCATTGAATACTGACAATGATTAAAAAAGACTTCACAAAGAATGAAATATAAGAGATAAAGAAAAATTTATTTCAAAGCTCAAAGATGAAATGATCAATTTGGCTATTTTGCCCCGGCATTCTTTTTTCTTGTCCTCGTATATAAAGAAGATAATAGACTTTGATGTTTTTTGGTTCTTCTATCATTTCACTAGCTTTCTTCATTCATTCATTCATTCAAACAAATAATAATTCCATAAGGCACTATCTTCCCCCTTTAACTTGGAGTAAACTCTTTATCACACAATTAAGAAAAGGAATTTTTTCAATAGTCATAAGACTAATATTAATTTTATTACTTTTACTATTATCAAAGGAGTAAAAAACGAGTCAGAATCTAATCTATAGTCTCTTGTTATATCAAATGCTTTGAAGTGTTAAGAAATTTATTGTTTGAGAAAAATACCACTGAATGATGTATATATCATACAGAAGAAGAAAACTTTTCCATTTAAGGTCTGTTTGATTATGAAGGTAAAATGTCATGAATAAACTTTAATGTTATGGAATAAAACTTCAAAACTTTATCCCAACCATAGATCACTTAGTGAGTATACATAAGGAAAATACATTTATACAGTACTTGAGTAGTGTATATCACGAACTAATTAAGCTTGACAGTTATTGAAAATAATGAATCGATCATTATTAGACCAACGTTAGAAACATAGAAGCACTGAACGGTCGTTTCGACGGACTACGGGACTCATCAGCAGTACGTAGAAACCGTAACTAATCGAATTTAACCGTGTTCGGTGTAGGCATTTACCTACCGAAGACGATGGAAGAGGTTGAGCAATATCTTGGATTGATTACAGTTAGACATTAACACCGTGGCCTACAAGTTAAGCATTCGAGACCGAAGGTTCTGGGTTCGAGGGTCGTAGATTCGCACTGCTGATGAGTCCCATACTAGGATGAAATGGCTATCCAGTGATTGCAGGTTTCTAATGATGGTCTAACAATAATCAATTCATTATTTCAAGGAAACTTAACAATCTCCATAACTCTATAATGAAAAATTATTGAAAACTAAGGAGCAGAAAGCTGTCTACAAAAACACCACTTCTTAATCTACAACAGTTGCTTACTTATGTCTTCCTTTAAGGAATGTTCTGGTGACAAGCTAAAACTCTTGCGATCCGCCTATCTCAGGAATGATACAATTATTACAAATGTCAATAAATAAAGGTCACGTCAGGTAACTAATTGACTGGAACTGGGATTGTGTACCATTTAAGTGCTTAGTAATTGGTATAAAAATAATACACTGTCTCTGATTGACGATTGGCATTTTTGATCAATCCCATACGAATCTTCATGGAATGGCTACTATAAGAAGTCATTCTGTGTTAAGATCAAACTTTTTCACGATCATTTACCAGAAACTGATGCTTTTCTAAAAGACATTAATTGGTTATATTTGTTTAACTAATCAGTATAAAGTCAGTTTATAAGTGGTTGCATTTCTAATCTTGGAAAGTAGGGCTTATTATTTCAGTGACCCGTGTACTGACTTCAATACTTACGAATGATGGAGAGTGCGAAAAAACAAATCTCCACTTCAGTTTCCATATATACCATACTTAGGTGAACCCCGTTTGTACGATAAAGGTAATTATAAACCAAATACAGATTCCTTAGGATAAATTTATTTCAATTGATCGTTCATGCAGGCAGATTTGATAAAGAAAAGCGTACAAGCAGAGCAAAGCGAAGCTAAGAAGGCGAGCTATTGAGGCATAACTTAGCATTAATAGTCAGACGAAATAAGCTGGACATGTCGAAAGTGAAGTTAGCGGTGCATATACCTACTCAAATTGAAACAGCCATGATAAAACCGAATAGTTGACAAGGTCAAAAGACGAATGAATAATGTGACACGTGAAGAAAAGATTAATTAGCTTGTCCAAAGGCTGAGACAAACTTTGTGGACTCGACATAACACTACACAGACTACACCACACTTGAAAACTTTAATAATTAATATACAAATTATTGTTTATATATATATTTATTGAATTATTCATTGAACTTTGAATTTTTTTATTTTCTTTTGAATAATTTAAAATGCTTCAGCAAATTATCAATTACAATTGTCGTGCATTAGTTGCAGCTGTACCATTTTTTACATTTGCTGATCAAAATTTTGTCTCAGAAGTAGTAGTGAAATTACGTTATGAAGTATTTCAACCGGGTGATTTAATTATCAAAGAAGGTACAATTGGTACAAAAATGTATTTTATTCAAGAAGGTATAGTGGATATTGTGACAAGAGATGGTGAAGTAGCTACAAGCCTATCAGATGGGTCATATTTTGGAGGTGAGTATATTTTGTTGTTAGATGAGAGCATAATTTCAAGTATTATTTTGAATTTCATTAAGGGTCAGACAGTCAGTTACAATGTAGAACTTTTTACTTACGTACATACATCAGTTCAAGTTGCCATACCACATAAGCATAGAGATGTAATTGTCAATTCAAATCCTATAGCTGTAGAGGTAGTAAAGATACTAGCAGTAATCGGAGAGATTAGGGTTCGAAGATATTATTCAAGAAGTAGAATCTATTGAAATTAGGAAGTTTAGGATTTGAGAGAACACAAATAATGAATGCACCTGCGCCATTGCAAACGATTTTGAGTCATATCATTCAACGTCTCTAACCATAGATTCACTGTCATTTCTCAGACTCCAATCAGATAGTCTACACCTACCAACATGGCCCATTCCAGTTGTCACTGACTTCATGGATTCGTGCCATGTTTTGGTTTGGCCGCCACTAGCTTTATTTCAACCTACTCCTATACCAAAAAACATAGCAAGTCGAGGCAGTCGGATTTTCATTAATGTAGGCTTTAAAAAAATCAGTTAGTCAAAAAAGTCACACTTGAATGACTGATTTTCGTAGGAATCAGTCAGAAAATACATTAAAGTCATTTTATTATTTTATTTGTTACTGACAATCGTAGAACAGATACAGAGATGAATTTTCATCCGTTAACAAGTTCTGGTGTTGCATATTGTTTATTTTTGTTCGGTAGTTTGAAAAAAACTCTAATTTATTAGGGTCCTTAATTCATATCTTATTGACAAAGTCAGTAAAATAGCGTATGAGTAGGTTCAGTTGATAAATCCAAGAATAAAAACAAGTATTGTGTATTTTGATCGTAATTTTCATGAAGTAATATATTAGTATGCAATTAAAAATTTCACAGATAAGTAATTTTATAACAGCAGCAGCCTCAGCTGCAGTAGGCATCAGCATACACAAAGGAAAAAGCAAGATTCTCCGATACAACACAACTTTTAACGAACAAATCACACTTGAAGAAGAAGGTTTGGAAGATCTAGAAACCTTTGCATATCTGGTCAGTATTATTGATGAGCAAGGTGGATATGATGTAGATGTGAAGACATGGATTGATAAAACAAGGGCAGCACTGTTACAATTGAAGGACAGCTGGAATTCAGAACACCTGTCAACCAACACCGGTGTCACAAATTTCAAAACAAACATCAAGACGGCTCTACTGTATGGACTGGAAACGTGGTGAACCACGAAAGCCATCATCCGCAAGGTACAAGCATAGATCAATAATTTTCTTTGAAAGATACCTGCAATCCGTTGACCAGATATTACCTGCAACAACCTACTGTGGCAGAGAACAAACGAGATTTCAGCAGAGGAAGAAATCGGGAAGAAGCTCTGGAGGTGGATAGGACACACATTGCGAGAAGCACCTAACTGCTTCACAAGACAATCCCTCATCTGGAATCCTCAAGGCCAAGAAACACATTACGCCGAGAAACGGAGCAAGACATGAGAAGAATGAACAACAATTGGGTGGAACTAGAAAGGAAGGCTGGGGACAGAGTAGGTCGGGTAGTGCCGGTCAGCAGCCTAAGCTTCATTGGGGGTAACTGGCGTAAGTAAGTCAGTTATTTTATGAAGGTTATTATTTACATTATCGTTACAATAGAAAAATTGGTTCCTTTTAACTAATATACTTTTTATTACAGAAATATGTTTATTAACTAACGCCCGCCGTGTAGCCAGTGTTCGAGCAGAAACATACTGTAATGTTTACTCATTGGATAGAGCAAGTTTTTTAGAAGTACTTGATAATTATCCATTAATGCGTAGAACTATGGAATCAGTTGCAGCTGAACGTCTGAATAAAATTGGACGTGATCCTTTAGTTGTTAGCAGTCGTAAAGATTTGTATGATGATTTAAAACTGGTGAATGAAATAGTGAATCAGGTAAGTTTTGACAGATTGAAACAATTAAGTGTATTTTATTCTTAATGTTAAAAGTTTATCAGTATGTACATTTTAAAAATCATGGGGTAGTAATTAGTGTTTAATGGCTGTGTTGAATTCGAAGTAGAGCTCACTATTTTAGTGGCCCATGATCTGACTTCATTTTGCACGGACGGTCGAGTATGTGATAAAATAAACCTTCTTTTCCGTTTCCATATATCATGCCTAGGTGAACTCCGTTTGGCCACGTCTGTGAAAAAAAGCCACATACGATTTCATGGATGAATTTATTTTATCTAATCGTCTGTACAAGCAGACATGAGGATATTTAGCATGCAAGCAAAGCGCAGTGAAATGGGGAAGGAAAGTAGATCAACTACATGCGATGAAGCATCACTGAGTACTTATAATCAGACAAAATAAGTTAGACACACACACTCGAGCAACAACAAACAAGAGATAAGCACTTCCATGTCATTGTCTAAAGACGTGTCAGTAGTAACTCGAGTAGAATAAACTGATTAAATTGTTCAAAGGCAAAGACAAACCCTGTGTGCTCGACTTAAAAGCACACACACTAGTTTACATGACTCAACATTCTGAGTGCAATGTTCGTATATCAGATGTTTTTAGCTTAGGAACTCATTAAAAATTCATTCAACAACTAAGTTAATAGTAAATATCTTGTTTAGACTGAATAAAATGACAATGTGAACTTAATTTGTGTCTAAACTATTTATTCATCAAGTCCTATCAATCAGTATTGCAGGACTGGATAACCAAAACTGTGACCAGTTATTTGTATATATCTCAATTCTTTAGTAGGTTAGATACTGTTAAAATATTATGACTGTAACTTCTCAGCCTGTGAAATTTTGTGTAATCTGCGTTTTAATCTCATTAGAAGTATCGTTCCATGAAGATTGTAGGTAAAGCTTACTGATGAATGTTAACTAACTAGAAACCTAGATCCAAGACGTTCTACAACAGATTGCCTCCTACTACTAAACACAATCATATGTTTGCATCATGAGGTTGTGAAGATTGTTCAGTTTCTGTTTAAAATCATGAATTGATCAGTGTTAGACCATCATTATAAGCCTGGAAGCACTGGACGGCCGTTTCTTCCTGGTATGAGAATCGTCAGCAGCGCGTACCAACGATCTCCTCAACTAGCATGATTCGAACCCGGGATATCCAGTCACGCACACGAACGCCAAACCTTTGTACCACTGAGCTGGTATTCGCCAGTGTTAGTGTCGAACTCCGATAAATCCATGATCTTGCACAACCTCATCTATTGTCTTCAGTGAGCACTGCCTCACAGCCGAACAGGATTATATAACTTTCTAAACTTCATTGTTATTTTCTGGCGAAATCGATACTTTGAAAAAGCACAATTCTTCTAATCTTTACAAATATAATCACTTGAAAATCATTCGTAAGTATGAAATCTTTGTTGTAAAATGTTAGATACTTTGAGACAAGTGAAAATAAACTCCGTGCTTAGATTTCATGCTAGTTAGCACGCTTCATCAAACTGTAACTACAATTCTGAGGAAGTCGATACTTTAAGGTAGGATTTGAGCTGAAGTTGCCTATCGTCACACACATAGTCTGAGCGATTGACTATTTACTTTGGTCTATGTTTTCCGGTTGATTACAATCAACTAACGGCTTACATTTTAACAAGACTGATTGATAATATCGCTTCACATCTGTTGAATTGTTAGTTTAGACCGAAGTATTTATTCTTTGCAATCCTTAAATACACTTCTAAATTTACTTGAATAGTCAGAGTTACATAGACACGAGTATTGTTTAGTTGGTTTCTTTTGATTGCATGTCAGTTTTTTTCTTTTATCATGATTTTCTGCGTTGATAACTTTGACAGTTATTCATGCTTATCTTAATTATTACTGATATTTCAATTTCTTGATCACCAATGACAAATTGTTACATAATTAAGGAAAAACTTTCTTTGTGTGTGTTTGTGTATGTGTACGTGTCATAAGTGCTTTGACCAATGTTGACAAATCGTCATCAAACAAATAGATGGCTGAAATAATTTTTGCATGTTGAACTGATTAATTGTTTTAAGGATAGAATAGATATAGAATAATTCTTCTTCAAGTTGAATTCTTTATGATTTTAAGTCATATAAAAGTTTGTCAAATATTTCTTTTTGAAATGATAAATCGATCAATGTTAGACCACCATTAGAAACCTGAAAGCAGTAGAAGTCCATCAAGTCCTGGTATGAGACTCATCAGCAGTGTGCATCAACGACTCTCGTAACCCACCAGGTTCAAACGTAGGACCTTCAGTCAAATGCACGCCAATATCTAACTTCTAGAGCACTGAGCCGATATTTACCATTGTTAATGTTTAACTTCGATCAATTCACTGTCTTGCGTAACTTGATACACTGTCTGCGATGAGCGCCGCTTTACACCCGAACAGGGTTAAACTCTCCTGCTCACTACCTCTCATTAGAACTCGTAGAAGATTCCTCACGGAGCTACTCACTAGTGAGCCAAGTAATTTACATCACGGGTTTGGGGAGATTTTTTATTTACTTTCTGAAATCATGATTAGATACCGGTTCAGTGGTCCAGCGGTTAGGCGTTCGTGCACAAAACCGGAGGTTCTAGGTTCGAATCCTGCGAGTAGTAGGAGTCGTGGATGCGCACTGCTGATTTCGTCCTATGCCAGGACGAAACGGACACCTTTCAGTGCTTCCGGGTTTCTAGTGGTGGGCTTACACTGATCAATTTATCATTTCAAAAATAAATAGCTGAGCAATCTCCACAACCCCATAATGCATATCTAATATTTATAAAAGATTATAGATTGCTGGAAATCATTATCAGAGTAATATTCACTTTTAGGGGCATGAATGTTCAGGAAAATAGTAATACTAATAGTAATAATAATAATAAGTAGCATATAATCGATTTTATTTTAATTTCTACCCTTAAAATGACCATAATTTAATCTTGTTCATATGAAATTTTAGGCGATTAGTGAAGCAGACGATGCACAAATCGAAGGAGACACAGAAGATAGCGCTGATGAAGATGGGATTGATGGCTGTGGAACTGGAGATCATATTCATACTACTAATAGTACTAGTCGAGTTAGTGCAAGTAACCCGCGTAAACATGATGAACGAAATTATCATCCATATAAAATAATCAACAAATTCTCTCATCCAGTTAACTATTTCAAACGACGTAAATCATCTCATTGGAATGCATTGATGTTACGTAAAAGTTCTGAACCGGAATGGTGGCATCATCATTCATCGGTTGATAAATTAGGCACATCAACTTTATTGAATACAGGTATTCGTAAATGGTATCATATGAAACAACAACGTAAATCAAATATTCCAAAAATAATGAATAAAACAAAAAGTGTTGACAATTTAACACTATTCACTGTATCCCCTAACTTATCGCATCGTTGGCAATCAACAACAAAACCAACACCAGTGAATGTGACAGTGTCGGTAATCGATGAACCGGATGATGTATCACCGAAAGAGTTGACCACATCAAATTCATTGGTAAAAATTAATGAACCACAAAACACCGACAATTATCATCACCTATCAGTGGATAATAATAATAAATGAAGTGGAAATTTACACCGAACCATTGGTCATTACTACTGTTATTATGATTATGATTTTGATTATTGCTGTATGAAATAATGTCATCGAAGAAATTGATGTTTTTTTGCCCCAAACGAAAAAGATGCATTTATTTCAATATTTTTTTTCGATTTAACTAATCATTTAGTAAATTATCATGTCAAACAAACACTGATTATTCTCTTTGTTTTTGTTCAGTGGTTGTGAAACAATTCAAACCTCTCTGTCTATCTCAATTATACAAACATATGAATATATATATATATATCTATACATGAATACGTTTATTACGCAATGTATTTCATTAGATGAGATAATATTCTTATTATTGTGACGATGATGATAATGACAATCGTCAGTATTTTTATTTTCTTGTTCAGATTATTTGTGTCTATGATTTTTTTTCTTTTCGGTTCATAACTCTGTGAGTTAGTAAGATTATTATTTGTGATTTTTGATGGTATGTTGTTTAGTAAGGAGTATTTTCTCTTGTGTATGTTTTTTTTTAAATAAAAAAAAAATTTGTTTAGCTGTATTCAAAGAATTTTCAATGATTAGATATTTTTAGATGTAGAAGGGGTTTTAACTCTGTCGGGTGTAGGCAGTAACTACCGAAGACAATCGGGTGGGGTCGTGCAAAATCGCTAGAATCATCACGGTTAGACACTAACACCATTGGATCCCGGCTCAACGGTCTAAAGGTTAGATGTTCGAGCGCAAGACCGAAGGGTTTAGTCGCGGATGCGCACTGCGACTGATGAGTACCATACCAGGACGAAACGGCCCTGTAGCGGTTCCAGGTTTCTACGTGGTGGTGGTCTAACAATGATCGACTGACAATTTTTACCTGTAAAAACAATGATCTCCATAAATCTAATTGAAAAATTATTATTTATTTGTTATACTTTCTAGTAAATTTAAAATAACTCACCGTATAATTTAAATGAATGAATAAATTATGAAAATGATTTTGAACTAGTTGATTTGGCTGAAATAAAAAATTGTTTATGCTTAGAAAACTGTACAAAACAAACGCTAATTACAGATCAAATTAGCTTGATGTTCTGAATGGATTGTAGTGTTCAATGCTATTTTGTCGTTTAGTATGTGATATTGCTGATCGCCTTCTTTAAATCAGTTAATAAACGTTTGTGCATAATCTTTATATTTGAATTAAAATGTCCGATTAAAAAACTGTCATTAGATTTCATTTCTCCAATAAAATCAGTCTAGACGTCGTTGATTTATTTTGTGTGCTTCAATTCTGTTTATTAGAAATTCGACAGAATTTAACAATTAATTTCTTTTACCGAACAATTTAATGACCAGTAGAAAATAATTAGATCATATTGCTGATCTATTTGTAAAAAATTCTTCATTTAAAATTGATCAACAACTTGTGTGATTCACTTTAGTGTGTACGGATTCTTTGAAATAGTTTTACTTACTTATAATTGTTACCTGTCGTGGTGCACAGGCTGCCAACCAACAACCTCCAACCAACTCTGTCCTAGGCCCACGTTTCCAGCTGTTCTCAATTGTTATTCATACTTCTGTTGTCCACCTCCACTTCATGGCGCAATGTGTCCTTCAGTCTATCTGTTTTCTTTTGGCCTTGAGGATCCCGAGTTATGGCTTAACTTGTGATGCAGTTGGGTGATTTCTGGAATATATGTGTTCTATTCATTGCCAACACTTTCTCCTAGTTTATTCCTTATCTTGAAGCTGATTTGTTCTCCATCATGGTGTATCTTATATATAATTCGTCTTAAATTTTTGTTTCTCAGATAAATAGGGTATTTTCTTACCTATCTTCTCACTTACTTAAAGAATTATCAGTCAAACCTTACTTTGAATAATAAATTACTTTGTGTAAGCCTTCTTAAAAAACATTTAAGTTTTAGTTTACAATTTTCCACTTGAGAATAACTGACAACTGACAAACAAGTTTCTTTTACAATGTTCCAAACTGAAAGATCAGAACTACCTCTTTTATTTTGAGTAATAGGTTTTAATCTGTCTACTGAGGGATACTTATTTTGCTAACACCTATCTGAATAACCAGAGGAAAGTGATCCCTATCATATTGTTGACCGAATTCTATAAATAAAGTTATATTCAGACCACCAGTCTAAATGTTTAAACATTGTGTGGAATGTGTGGTGAAGATGGATGGGCTCATCACTTTAAAAGGCTCTCATTCTGACTCTGATATTTATGAATAATTAAATATGCTACGAAATGCATCTACCCTACAGTTTCGGTTAATCAGTTATATACGAATACGAAGTCGAATAGAGACTCAGTTGGATGAGTTTATTTCATGCAATAGTTCATGTAGACAGACATGAGGATAAACATCAGCGAGGCGAAGAAAACGAGTGGGCCAACACTTTGTGATGCAACATGACTAAGTATTTATAGCCAGGCAAAAACAATCTGAACATGTAAGAAGCAAATTAGGAGGCATACACCCCAATAAAAATAAACAAGAGATAAGCAAGGTTGAAAGACGTATGAATAGTAACTATGGTTGATTGAATTAATCGAATTGGAGAAGGAGTGAGATAAGCCTTGTGGGGGCTCGACATAAAAGTACACACATTAAAAAATGTTTGTTGTGAAATGAAGGTAATCGGCTGACAATCTAAAACATGATTTTCAGTGTTGGTGATTCCAGTTGCAAAGGCATATTTTTGAACCTGAAATGAAATGATTCATTCGCGCAATACACATGTCAATTAATCATTTTTAATTGACTTCATAATAGTTATTTTATTGATGCGTACTTGTAACAAACAACTGAACAAAAATTTACAACCATTTATCATTTAACTCTGAATGTATATAAAACCGAAGTCATGAAACATGATCGTAAATTATTCTTTATGTTTAAATTATGTTATGCTTGTCACTTGATATGCTTGAAACTATTACGAGTTCAACTTAGTCGATAAACGAGAACGATACAATGAACCAGTGACACGGTAGGCTACCCTAATCCGTTGACCCAAACGAACTAACGAAAAAAGTCTTGATATAGCGTAGAAAGTGTATTCTACAAACATCCAGCAAACATAATGATCTCAAATACACAAATCGCGTTGATTTACACATCATAGAAACGTCCCTGGGAGAGTCACAAAAATAGCAGACTAAAATAACACAGTAACCAATCACAGCCAATGATCTTCCTGGTGGGAAATGTGATTTCAAGGTCAAGTGACCAGCCCATGAACAACATCCAAATTTAAGACATTTATCAAGCGAGTTCTGGGGGTTTAACGTCCCCAAAAAATTAACTGCAGTATACTGATGTTGAATAAAATTTATTGAAATCTATGTGTGATACAAGTGTAGAGTGAAATGAAATACAATGGGATTCTTTTTCTAAATAATTCAGTCTTGAGTTCAGTTCTGGAAATAATTGAAATTTATTTTTGATTCAATATTTATTAAAATGTCAAATACAATTATAAGTATATTTCTTTTTTAATATGATCATATTCAGTGGATGAATCGCTGAGAAAAAATGCCATCATATGAGGTATACATTCAGATAATTTTAAAAAATATCGTAATTCAAATGTGTAAAAACACAAATCTCCAAAACTCTAACTGAAAATATCAAATAAGAAAATTCTGACTAATTGTAACTTTTCTTAGATAACAGGTTTATGTAAGAGAAAGGAAATAGTTTATTGCAAAATACATACGAAAAGTTGCTTTTATATTACAGATATATGGTTGATACTTTCGCCTTGTATGAAAAATAAAACGGTTTTGAAATTATCTCTAATTCAGTTCAGAAAATGATGGATTTTTCAGAATTTTCTGGATGTTTTACCTTCAACTTGCTTAGTTTATTTACTCTTGTTACTCTTAAGGGAACACAAGCCACCAACTACCGTTCCCCAGCCCATTTTGTCCCGGGGCTTCCCTTTGTAGTTCAACCCAATCGTTGTTCATTCTTTCCATGTCTACTTCCAATTCTCAGCGTAATGTATTCTTTAATCTGCCTCTTTTCTATTTGCATTGAATACTCCAAATGAGGACTTGTCTCTTGATGCAGTTCAATGATTTGTTCAATTTGTGTTCTATCCACCACCAGTGCTTTTTCCTAATTCCTTTCTCAACTGGAATCCGGTTTACTTTCTCTCACAATAGGTTGATGCTGATGGTGGTTGGCCAAAGAATCTACAGTATTTTGCGTAGGCAACTGTTTATTAACACCTGTATCTTGTGGATGATAGATTTCGTAGTTCTTCTAGTTTCTGCTTCATACAGTAAAACTATTTTGGCGTTTGTAGTGAAAATTGGGACTTTGACGTTAGTTGATAGTTTTCTAAAGTTGCAGATGTTCCTGGATTTTAGAAATGCTGTCCTTGCTTTGCCGACCGGCTCCTTTATATCTGTATCAGATCCACCTTGCTCATCAATGATGCTGCTCATTTAGTTTTACCTTGAAGGAGATTAAAAAATAACATTGTGGATATAGTATTCTGCTAAAAAAGACTATATCTAGTCAGTATACTTACTTTCAGAGCCTTTTCCCTCATTACCTTAAAGCGATCTCATCTATAGTTTACATTGGTACACACATATACGGTAAACTAAATAGTGAAACTAGGACTATAAAACATTAGAAGCTGAAAAACTTCAGATTACTATAGGTAAAGTAAATGTGAGAGACCCTTATCTTTATTAAATCAACATAAAATGTATATTATACTTGGTTTCAAAAGAAGTGCAGTTATTAAGTTGCTAGGACTTATTCTAATATCTTCCATAAGTAAGTATTCTTTCGCTGCACAGGTAGGTGTCTTGTATTTCTGATGAAAGTTAGGATTGTATCCAAATTATGACTAGTTTTTAATGTCCACTCGCAGATTTAGCTGTTCCTATAGATATAGAAAACCTGTTTAAAACCACCGTAGTCTCCCTGAGTGTCATGCATATTTTGGTTAGTTAGAGGAATAGGC